GATAGATAGATAGATGATAGATAGATAGATAGATAGATAGATGATAGATAGATAGATAGATAATAGATAGATAGATAGATAGATAGATAGATAGATAGATGATAGATAGATAGATAGATGATTGATAGATAGATAGATAGATAGATGATAGATAGATAGATAGATAGATAGATGATAGATGGATAGATAGATAGATGATAGATAGATAAATAGATAGATAGATAAATAGATAGATGATAGGTAGATAGATAGATAGGTAGATAGATAGATAGATGATAGATAAATGTAGGCAGTGACTATGTGTTCATTACCCAGCTGCCCAGACCTGAATAATCACACAAAAGCTATATTAATTATAACACCATTTAGCCAATAGCTTAGGCATATTCCTAGCTAGCTCTTACTTCTTAAATTAACCCATTTCTATTAATTTGTGTATCACAAGGCTGTGGCCTACTGGTAAGATTCCAGCATCCTTCTCCTTCGGCAGCTACTTGGTGTTTCTTTGACTCCACCTACTCTCTCTATCTCTATCTATCTATCTATCTATCTATCTATCTATCTATCTATCTCTGTTCGTATTTTCTGCGTGGCTTTACTCTACTAAGCTATTGGCCAAAACAGCTTCTTTATTGACCAATGGTATTAAAACACATTCACAGCACACAGAAGGAAATCCCACATCAAACAAACAAACAAATAAATGGACAGAGAAGCAATTTGTGGTGTCTAATTCACTATATGGCCCAAAACAATTATCTCACTGCACAAAGGGTGGGTCCCTGGGGCCTCAGCCTCAGTGTCTCCCAAGTGGCAAGTGATGGAAAGGTGCTGAGTCAGTGTTTCTGGGGCCAGGCTTCATTCTGCGAGATCCTGAAAGAAAATCCTGCTAGGGACTCGTGATTGGCAGGTGAATAAGGGTCGTGCGAGACCCTAGTTACCTTCCTCTGCATCTCCTCACACAGCGTGGAGATAACTTTCAAAGTGACAAAAGGCTTATCACTTCAAAGCGATGACCAGTGGAGGTAGTGGGCCTCTAGAGAGAGAGTCAGTGGCAGTTAATGTCTCTCTCTCTGTCTCTGTCACACACACACACACACACACACACACACACACACACACAGGCCACGGGTCCAACTGCCCATCTTCAGGGAACACAGAGGTCTGAGGACAGGGGACAGGGGACAGGGGACAGGGAACAGGGAGAAAGCTCACAAAATCACAAGAGCCAGACTCTGGGTCAGGCGACTCCGGCTCTTCAGCTGGCACAGTTGTCAAGAGGCAAGGGTCTATAATTAAAAATTACTTGACGGCATATCAAAAAATTTCCCTAGGGAGGTGAGAATGTTAAACTATGGTGTCTAGGGTCACAATCAGGTGGCCACTTAGAAAGAAAGGCAAGGGAGGGAACTGGCCCTGGAGGGAAGGAGGCAGCTGTGGCCTGCAGGCCTTGCAAGCACTTATTACGCCATTCTTTTGTGTGGTTTCTACCTTTGGTTTTCTTTCATAGTGAAAGGGATTTTTTAAATGTGGGGTGGGGAGAAGCTTGCTCTCAAAATATCATCTCACTACCCAGTCTTCTTGTATCCAGTCCCACAGGAAGGTGCCAGAATGCTTTCAAACTAGACTCTAGGAAATGCAGGCAACCCTGAAAGCATTTATGTCAGCATGCAGATGTGGATATAAGTAGGTATCTGTGGAACTGTGAATACACACCAGTCTTGCCTCCACCACCATTTTCTTGCTGTCTTCTGGGGGTAAAATAGTTATACCTCGTCTTGGCATGGGTGACCTTCGCAGCTCCCTGCGGCTCTCCCTCCCTGAGCTCCATCCGCCCCCAAGATATTTTGCTTTGTCTCATTTTATAATCAGCGCCACTGATAACTGAGAGCGTCTAACTCATCGCTTGTGCCCCTGAAGTGTGAACACAGGCATTGCACGAAACAGACAGCAACAAGCCCTTGTTCTGCAGTGTAAAGCACTTACTGTGTTTTCTTTCTCGACTGATAATTAATTTAAAAGGCGACCGTCGCCACTGGCTGCTCTTAACAGTCTCGTGGCTCATTTTGTTGCTACAAAATGATTTTGCTTGGTATTCAGTTACAAGTCACACAGCCTGTAACTTGCTCAGCTTCTGTCTGTTACAGACAATAAAACCTAACTGTGGGGTAGAACTGCTGGCAACCATGTTCCAACAGAGGGCAGCAGAGGGCAGGGGGCGGGGCAGCAACCTCTGCCAGGTGTTTGCTCGGGAATCCTAAGAATTAAGTCTGGGGTTGGGAACACCAATCTCCTCCAATTTCAAAACGGGGAAAATCTGGAGTTAGAAAATGAGCATCTTACCACGCGCCTGCGGATCTCAGAGTGAGCAAGGTCCTAACAGGTTCCGCGCTCATTTATGGTTCTCTCGGGTGGGGATGGGGTCCGACGGCTCTGTTTCTTTTGTTTGATATGAAGCAATGTTTCGCCTGACTCAGAACTTCCTTCTGGAAAGCGACCTTTCTTCTGAATACTGACTTCCCAGAATTCGTCTTCAGGGCGTCCTCCCTTCTGCTCGATAATAGTTGACTTCCCAACAGTGAAGTGCGCCTGCCTCGCCTCTGTCCAGCCAGCAAGACCTTTGCTGCTCACTCGCAGGCTTCCTGTCGGGCCCACGGAACACAGCACCACAGCAGAATGGACCCCAGACTTTCGCGGGCACGTGTTCAAAGCAGAAACCTCGCCACGCTGGTGCTGTAAGCATGAAGAAAGTCTTAGAGGAGACCCACCCGTGGCCTTCGGAGGTCCCTGAGTGTCACTGCACCAGGATCTCCCACCACCACTGGGCTGCTAAATGTCCAGCTAGAAGCCAATCTGTGACCTTAGCCAGAGCCAAAAGAATCCCAGCGGACCCAGCCATGTGGACGGAGGAGGAAACACAGACGTGCCGAGCTGTCTGCTTTTCTTGGAGATTTCTACGGATCATCTGTGCTGAGACAACTGTGCACATGGTGACAGGTGCCATTCTGGAGGCAGATCACCCTCCCCAGCCCGTGGGGTGACCACAGAGACCTGTCCTGGCATTCTGTGTGTGGGTGCACATGCGCTCTGGGTGTGGAACACATGCAATCTGAGTGTGGTACACATGCACTCTGGGAATGGTACACATCCACTCTGGGTGTAGTACACACACACTCTGAGTGTGAGTACACATGCACTCTGGATGTGATACACACGCACTCTGGGTGTGAGTACACATGCACTCTGGATGTGATACACACGCACTCTGGGTGTGAGTACACATGCACTCTGGATGTGATACACACGCACTCTGGGTGTGAATACACATGCACTCTGGGTATGATACACATGCACTCTGGGTGTGAGTACATCTGCACTCTGGGTGTGGTGCACACGCACTCTGGGTGTGGGTGCATTTGCACCTTGAGTGGTGGAGCCCGAGTGTTGAGATTGAAATGCACGAGGAGAGCCCTTGCATGAACAAGCAGAGCTTCAGCCTGCAGCCGCTGCACCAGTGCAATGGTCCAGTACCCCTAGCCCTCTGCCCGGTGGGAGCGTCTTCCACCTAACCGAAGGCAGCAAGGCCTCTGTCCCGACAGGTCCTCCTGGAGCATCTGTTGGCAGGGTGCCTTCAGATGACTGGAACATTTTACATGAACAGGATGAACACTGAGACGAATGTAATGACTTCTCATATCTGAACGCAGTATAAACGGAGAGTGGTTGAGAATAGAAAATGCATTTTAACGAAAAACGTGGCTGTGCAGGCAAACTTCTAAAGCCACAACCAGGGCAAGAGAGTAGGTGTTCTAAATGTGATTACCACTTGACTGTCAGACTGTAGCAACAATGAGCCGCAGAGACTGAAATTTGGTTGTGTGCCACCATGTGGGTTCTGGGAATTGAGCTCCTGTCCTCTGGGAAAGCAGCCAGTGACCTTAACTGCTGAGCCATCTCTCCAGCCAAGATATATATACACACATATATAGGTATATATATAAAAACATAACACATATATACACATATGTGTGTATGTATATATATTTATGTATATGGGTATATATTAATAGCAAAAGAAAATCAACTAATATATACTTCTAACCTTGACTTTAAAAAATCTTTTTGATAAATTCAACCTTTAAGTACATACTAGGCTGCCCCTTTGGTGGTCGCTGTTGTCAGATTTGGCTATTTCCCAGACTCCAGAGTCGCCTGAGGATGGGCCTCTGCGTGTCTGTGGGAATTATCCTGATTAGGGGGAGGATCGGACCTGCCCCCTGTGGGTGGCACCATCCCCTGCTGAGACCCTGCCGGTGGGAACAAGGAACAACTGGTTCAAGCTCCCGTCCGGATGATTCCCTGTTATGAGAGACTGTTCCTGGAACTGGGAGTGAAAATAAACCATCTCTCTCTTAAATTGCTTCTTCTCTGAGCGATTTGTCACAGAAAAATCAAAGCCCGCAGGTGATGCCCAGTGTCTCTACAGCGCCTGAGGCTGCTCTGTCACCTGAGTGTGAGGCCACGCCTACAGACAAGGGGGAGGGGTTTCCTCCAGACTCCTGAGGCAATGCCTGGGATCCCAAGATCCAAGGATCCCAGCTGGCGGCACTACTTCAGAAACTTTAAGACACGGAGCCTAATTAAAGGAAACAATCGCTGGTGACAGGCCCTTGGGTTCCATTTTGACCTAGCCCATAACTGTACTCCCCTCCTCAGCTTCCTGTCTGCCATGGATAGACAGCCTAGGACGCCCAACACCATGGCCTTTTGCCTTTCCATGAACCCAGAGTCAACAGAGCCAAAGACTATGCACCGAATTTCTAAAACTGTGAGCCAAAAAAAACAGCGTCTTCTTTTATGTGATGTTGATACCATTCATTCCAGTTCAGCAGTGAGGGTTAGACAACAGGGATGCAGGCTGATGGACCAAAAGGGCTCCATGGCCGGAGCTCGGCTGGGTCGTGGCGCTGTGAAAGCAGGCATGATGAACTAACTAACAAGCGAGTGCGGCTGGCTCCCAGGAAACTCTGTTTACAAAAGCAGTCAGCCCCGACTGAGACCATTGTTTGCCAACACCCAGAATGGCAGGTGTTGTAAGAGAGTGAGGCTGTCTCCAGGCAGAGGAAGTGTGATCATCGACCCACCCTGTGTATAAATGTACTGTAAGTCGAGCAGCAGGTTCTGGGTCAGCCAGTGTCTGCAGAGTGAACTGTGCCTGCTCCAGGGTGCACACATGTAAGTCCATTAAGTGTGTGGGGTGGGGGCTTTCTACGTATGTCTCATCTGTTTTTATTTTAGACCTATTGATCTTGCCTATCATCTTGTGATTTGGGGAATTTGAAGTAAGTCATCTCTAACTTGCTAATCAGAAATCAGTCTTCTAAATCTCTGCAAAGAACTTGGAACACATATGTCCTTAGAGTAGTGGTGTGTGTGTATATATATACATGCCCACTGCCACTCTGGGCTGGTCTGAGGGGTACATATCTGCCCTGCCAGGAGCCCCCCGTCGAGGAAAGCAGGGACTCCCTCCTTGCAGGTGTCCTGCTCAGTCCTGCTCCTCTAAAGATTCCTGAATTCACCACTCTATTTTGAGTCTGACCAATAGTTTCAGCAACTGGTCAGAAACCACCCAAAGAGAGGACATGTGTGCACACGCGTGCGCACGCACACACACACATACACACCATTCACAAGTGCATTGCACAGGCTGTGCTTCTTTCGCCTGTTTTCACAGCAGTTCAGGCCTGCCATGTCAGGGACAAATCTTTACATAAGCGTATGTGAAAAGCATCCCTCACATTGTCAACATGGTAGACTAGGGTTGAGATAGTTTTATGGCACACATACGGCAGCATCTTGTTTGAACAAAATTTGTCCATTATGTCAGTTCCGACCGATGGGAACACGGTGTCTTGGAGGAGCCTTTTTATTTCCACCAACGGATACAGAGGATAGAAGTGCAACAGATGCAAACTTTCTGGGGTAGGGGCGTCCTGGGAGAGCCCTGCAGTTTGCAGGGGAGGGGTGGGGGGAGGGAGGGAGGGAGGATGGGAGGGAGGGAGTCTTTCAGAGTCAGCATTTGGTGACTCTTCATAGACCTCTCAGAGAAAGAGCTGGGAGGCAGTGCTGCTCCGAACTAGAGATGAGTGGGAAAAATAAGAGAAAATACATTTCCACTCCTGGCTGCTGTCTTTCATAGAGAGAAAATGAGATTTGGGTAGGAAGGCAAAGCAGCCGACACGTCTTGCTGATTCACACTTGCTGCTCTTGCAGAGGACCTGGGTTCAGTTCCCAGTATCCACTTAATAGCTTACAACCATCTATTATTCAAGTTATAGGGTACCTAACACCTTCTCGGACCTCTGCAGAATCTGTGATGCACACACACACACACACACACATACACACACACCACACACACACATACACACATACACACATATACCACACATACACACACACCACACACACATACACACATACACACACACCACACACACACATACACACATACACACATACACCACACATATACACCACACAAACACACACACCACACACACACATACACACACATACACCACACATACACACACACCACACACATACCACACACACATACCACACACTACACACACACACACACACACAACAACAACAACAACAAAATACTTTTTTAAAACGTTTAAGAGCTTGTCCTAGACTTGCAGAGGACCTTAGTCGCACCCCAGCGCCCATGTCAGGCGACTCACAGTCACTTATAACCGGCTCACACAAGCAGAGTGGGAAGCTAACTAACAGTTACTTGTAACTCTGTGCTACTGCTCTGTTGGGGGAAGCAACCTGACAAAGAGAACAAAGTAATCCTGGCTCTCAGGGAACTTACATCTTAAAAAGTCCTCCTGCTCTAGCAGACAAGGCCTTGTAAAATACAGCTCAGGCTAGCTTCAGGTTCACAGGCTAGCCTCAAATCCCCAATCCTCAGTTTCCCGAGATCTGAGATTACAGGTACCCTATTCGCACACCACACTCAGCTTCAGGTGCCTTAGCTCGTATCAAAAGTTCCTTCCTCTTTCTTGCCACCAAGGAACCCTACCAGATGTTCACTCCCCCTGCAGAGACTTCTCGTCCCTGTCTGGTGCTGCTGTGTGGTCAGCTTAAATAAACCAGAGGCCGCTCTCCAGGAGGCTCTGGGAATTGTTGCCGGCCACTGCTCCATCACCAAGGGCAGCTGCAAAGTCCTTCATGTTACTTAGTGAGTGACCCTACAGGACACCAACTCAGGGAACCCTCAGTCTAAGTCACTTTAGGATGGAGATCAGCTGTAGAGCACGCAGCCTCGTTGTGACTCGTTTGTGTCTCATTATGACTTGTTTCCTGTTTAGTCTTCTTCATCAGTGCCCTCTGAATGTCTTCTCAGAGCCCAGAGGACTCATTCTGGGGTTAGTTGGGGGTGGAGCCGAGCAATGCTCTGAAATGGCCAGCCGTGCTTTCTCACCAGGCGGTGCAGTTGTTGGCTAACACAGCCCAAACTCTATCATGCAGCAAGCAAGTGTGCTATTGGCTTCATTGTGGGGGCTTCGATGACGATGGCTGGGAATTGTCACAGTTTGGTTTAGCGCTCCTGGCAAACTTTGGAGCCAGTTTGCATAATGCAGCCTCTAGAGAACATGATTCCAGCTGAACTGAGCATGCTCGGTTAAAAATAGAACACAGGCAGAGAGCTGCTCATCTATAAACCATGAGGCTGGGGGAGGAACAAAATTAAATAATAGTCCCTGGGGGTTCATGAACACCTGTCCCTGTCACTCAAACCGTGCAATAGCTGGGGATCACCGCCACATTGACTCAGGCCCTGCCCTGATGCCAAAAGGCAAAAATAAACAACCAAACTGACCCAGTGAAATCAGGACACATGAACACACCTTTAACCAGGCCACAGTTCAGGTGGCCTCTCTAGTCTGGGCTCCCTCGGGATTTAGCTGTGTATTGGGCAGGTCTAGACTGTCTTAGCCCCCACAGCAGACAGTGGTCTAGACTGCCTTAGCTTCCACAGCAGACACTGGTCTAGACTCCCTTAGCCTTCACAGCAGACAG